GCTATTTTCTGGAAGCAGTTGGAGCCAAGTAAAGGGAGTTTACCAAGGATCTGGCTTGGAGATTCACAGGAGAGGTGTCAAGCCAATATTGGACAGGAGGTATCCAAGTATCTGGTGACACAGTGGGTACAGGTTTCTAGTAACCATGATCCTAGTGACTGTCTCCTGTTTATCCCCTTGTGTGACTGCATCAGTGTTGCTGAAATGGGACTAGTCTCTGCCAAGAGGGGGGAAAACCCTGGAGAGTAGACAGAATAGATAGTGTTCTCCAGTTAATTTGCGCACCACATTTGGAGTATCCCAAAGCCTCCCTGCACCCCAACCAAGGTCAACCAGAATTAAATCATGAAAAAAACACTTACTGCCTGGTTAGTGTGAGAGAACTTGCCAAAATGTTGAATGCCTGGCTGCCTGTAGACCTGAACGTGAAGAGAACCTGGGTTAAATCAGCAGGACCATCAGGGGTTTGCGCTACATGTGTATTCTGTCAGCAGAGGAGTCCTCACTGTCAGAATACAATAACACAGCGGGGAAGATTCCTCCATCCACCTCACTTGTGTGGATGGGGGAACCCAGTCATTTTATTTCAATTGGTCCAATGGCTGATTGAAAAGAAATGATCCGTCTATGGCCAACCTTACTCATGTTTTTCAGGCTCGACCATAATAGAAGTCAAAGGGGCCAAAAACGCATAATGCTGCCTTTAAGAAACTTATATTGCACATCACTGCTAAAATGTGCAAAGCAAAAAAGAATTGCTTGGGAAATCACCTGAATGAACTATGCTCAAGTGTGAACATGGCCAAAAGTGGGAACAGGGTCTATACAAATGAAAACAATAGACATTCTGCAGTCAAATGTTTTTTCTTTCTGTTTGTATACTGAGCCGCACATGTGCAGCTCAGGACAATCTTGGCACGCTGTATGTGCTGGGACTAAGTTACTCCCTTGAGCATTCACTGCTGTCTTCCCTGACCAGACTGATAAAATGCCCAATGACTCTGAACCCAGAAGAAAAATGGGAAGATGTCAGCAGTGGTGATGGAGTGACAAGGGGGAGCAAGGGTATTACAAGTCTGGAAGAAGGCACTTTGGAAGTTAAGTGTGCCTAAATGTGCAAATATACAGTTGTTGTGCTTTATGACAACCATGGAGATTTATCATTTCTGCATTGCCCATTGACTCCTTTGTGTCTTTGTGATCCAGGTCTTTAAAAGGGCCGTTGAGGCTTGACACCTTGTCCTGCTGTGCTTGGAAGGCTTTTAATTGTAGCCTGTGATGATTAAAAATTAGAAAGAAAATACAAGCTGTTTACAGAGGCTGAGGTTGTATAAGTCCTGTTTGCAGAACACCTTGATGGAGAAAGAAGTCTAGGGAGCAAGATGGGGTTTGTTGCATAAGACATCTGTTTAAAAAAGTTGGTGTGGGGCAGCAGTGGTCAACTTACTTGGTAAGGAAGCCTCAAGTGAGTGACATCAACAAGGGGCTACACGTGATATTAATTGAATGTATTGCTACAGAAAGCTGTTGGCGACTGCAGATGTTAAACTAGAGATGGTCAGAGACTATGGGCCTGCAACAAGAGATAGTCAGAGACTGCAACATGCAACAAGAGATCCAAAAACAAACAAAGAAAACCAGCACTCAAATCTTCATGCAGACTGAAAGGAATTCAGTGTGCCAAACGAGGAGGTGATGCCCTTCAAAGATCGGGGAATCTGGACACTGACAGACAAAAGCAGACAAGGGCGCACTCTCATCGTGCATTACCGTGGTACACCATGTATTTATTGTGTAGACAAATAGATGTATACTCACAAACCAAAGGAAATTAAAAGCAGAATATGTAGTCCACAATGACAGTCAATACAATTCTGTGCCCTTAATAGGATAAGCTGATGCGTTTCGGAAAGGCGAACCCCCTTCCTCAGAGCTCTGAGGAAGGGGGTTCGTCTCCCGAAACGCGTCAGCTTATCCCTATTAAGGGCACAGCATTGTATTGACTGTCGTGTGGACTACATATTCTGCTTTTAATTTCCTTTAATTTGTGAGTATACATCTATTTGTCTACACAATAAATACATGGTGTACCACAGTAATGCACGATGAGAGTGCGCCTTGTCTGCTTTTGTCTGTCATGCAACAAGAGATGTTTAGAGACTATGGGTATGTTACAAAAGATAGTTACACACTATGGACATGCTACTAGAGATAGTCAGAGACTGAAAACATGCAACAGGAGATGGTCAGAGACTAGGGGCATGCTACCAAAGACAGTCAGAGACTGCAGACATGCAACAGAACATGATCAGAGACTATGGGCATGCTATGAGAGATAGCCAGAGACTGCAGACATGCAACAGGAGTTGGTCAGAGACGATGGCCATTTAACAAGAGATAGCCTGAGACTGTAGACATACAACAGGAGATGGTCAGAAACTAAGGGAAAGCTACAAGAGATAGTCAGAAACTAAGGGGCATACTACAAGATATAGCATAAAACTGTAGACATGCAAAAGGGCATGCTACAAGAGATAGTCAGTCAGGACTATGGGCATGCTACAAGAGATAGTCAGGGACTATGGGCATGCTACAAGAGACAGTCAAAGACTGCAGACATGCAACATGAGTTGGTCAGAGACTATGGCCATGTTACAAGAGATAGCTTGAGACTCTAGACATGCAACAGGAGATTGTCAGAGACTATAGGCATACTACAATAGATAGTCAGAGAGTGCAGATATGCACCGTGAGTTGGTCAGACATTATGACCATGCTACAAGAGATAGCTTGAGATTGTAGATATGCAACAGGAGATGGTCAGAGACTATGGGAAAGCAATAAGTGATACTCAGAGACAGGGGCGGACTGACCATTTGGAAACTTGGGCACTGCCCGAGGGCCCGGGGTCAGTACGGGGCCCTATGAGATGCCCCTGGTATCTTTTTCATAGGCTTTTTTGAGTTTGGGCAAGGACACGGGCCCCATGATCCCCTATTGCCCGGGGGCCCCATGAGTTGTCAGTCCGCCCCTGGTCAGAGACTATGGGCATGTTACAGTAGATAGTCAGAGACTAAGGGCATGCTACAGTAGATAGTCAGAAACTATGGGTATGCTACGGTAGATAGTCAGAGTCCATGGGCATGCTACAGGAGACAGAGACTGCAGACATGCAACAGGAGATAGTCAGAGACTATAGGTATGCTACAGGATATGGTAAGAGACTGCAAACATGATATAAAACTTATTGAAAACTTGGGACATGCTTCAGAAGACAGTCAGAGAGTGAAAAAAGTACATTAGACTACTCAAGACATTGCGATTTCATCCCCATTACATACCAATGCTTCCAATATCTGTGCTCCTTACAGCCCCCCTAAAATGACTAATGTCACATTTCATATTTCTCTCCGCAAAATCAATTATAAAAGATTTGAGAATCTATTAAATCTAATTAAAAAAAGAATAAAATACAGACAGCACAAAAAGGAAAGATAATGTGAAATAAATAAACTAAGCCAACGAGTCCAAAGACTTGAACAAGCTCCAAAACAGACCACTGTCTGCAGGGGCCCCCGAGGACCACACCATAAATGTCAAAGGGCTGCATGCAGCCCCTGGGCCATGGGTTGGTGATTGGGGCCCCCCTCCTTGTTCACCTCCTTCTATGCTGTTTATAACACATCTGTGATCTTGGGTTCCACCAGTGATCCAACAAATCAGCAATATGGTAACACCTTCCACACTTTCCCCAATATTATTTGGTGAGAATATGTCAGTGAATTAGGAAAGGCTTCTTATTATCCTACCAGCTACATTAACCCGAAATATAATCAGCAACATTATGGAGGACTGATAATGCCTTCCACTAATATAGAGAAGAGCATTTACTTGGCAGCAAAGCTATGACCAATTCATCACCGGGGAAGTCCTGTTCATCTAAAGCCCCCACAGTACGGCTTTCTGAATATTAAGAGCACACATAATAACTAGAGGTTTGTAAAAATCCATTCCGTCAGCAGTTCACCCAATCTGTTACTATGATCCTGTTTTTGATCTTTACACACTTCTTTTTAGTTTTTAAAGCCCAATTCAAAAATGTTTTTTGGTCCATTCAATGCTTAAAGCCAAACTCAAGGCAAAAGACACATATTAACCACTTTACCTCCAGAGGATTTACCCCCCTTAATGACCAGGCCTCTTTTTGCTACTCGCGCTGTACTAATTCAACTGATAATTGCGCGGTTCATGCAATGCTGCACCCAAACGAAATTTACGTCCTTTTTTTCCACACAAATATAGCTTTCTTTCGGTGGTATTTGATCACCTGTGCGCTTTTTATTTTTCACGCTATAAACAAAAAAGGTCAAAAATTTTGAAGAAAAACAATATTTTTTACTCTTCAGCTATAAAAAATATATAGTAAACTCAAAGTTGGTTATAAATTTAAGCCAAAATGTATTCTGCTCCATGTTTTTGGTAAAAAAAATCCCAATAAGTGTATATTGATTGCTTTGTGTGGAAGTTATAACGTCTACAAACTATGTTATAAATACTGCAATTTATGCCATTTTTCTGCTATACAGCGCTGCGCTAGTTTAACGGACAATTGCGCGGTCATGCAATACGGTACATGAATGAAATTTACATCCTTTTTTTTCCACAAATTGAGCTTTTTTTCGGTGGTATTTGATCACCTGTGCGGTTTTTATTTTTTGCGCTATAAAAAAAAAGGCTGACAATTTTGAGGAAAAAAAAAATATTTTGTACTTTTTTGCTATAAAACATGTCCAGTAAAAAAAAATTTAAAAATCAAATTTAGTCATAAATTTCTGCCAAAATGCATTCTGCAACATGTCTTTGCAAAAAAAAAACCCCAATACTTATAAATTAATTGGTTTACGTGAAAGTTATAGCGTTTACAAATGGCGGGAAAGATACTGGGATTTTTAGTTTTTTTCACTAATAATGGCATCAGTGACTAATGGCGGTGATCAGTGACTTATGGCGGCGATCAGCGACTTATGGCGGGACTGCGTCGGACATTCTGACATTGAGGGGTACTGACTTGGGGTCACTGACATCCCCAGTGACACCAATACAGTGATCAGTGCAAAAAAAAAAAAAAACACTGACACTGTACTAATGGCACTGGGGAGGAAGGGGCTAAGTTTATTATTCAGGGAAGGGTTATCTGTGTGAGGGGGAGTGTTTTACTAGGGGGCGGGGGTGTGTGCTGGATGGGGACAGGCTGATTGGGAGAGAGAAACTCTTTTGTCCCGATCAGCTTGTCCTCGAGCTGTCTGGGAACTGACAGAAAGCACAGCTACTGCAGCCCTGCTCTCTGTCACTGATTGCCGCCAATCGCCGAGAGATAGCCGGTAAAGACCGGCTGTGACCCGGCGACTGACATCCGCAGCTGTGATTGGCGGGACAGGTAGGGCGGCGGCGCGCCCCCTACCTGTTTACAAAACACACGTTTTAAAACGTGGTTTTGCCTGCCCGTGCCGCCCTGCCAACGTATTTATACAGTGGTTGGGCAGCATGTGTGGTTAAGGCAAATCTGTAATCATTAATACATTATTATAAGCTGTTTTTATGGTTCAATACATTTCTATTGATTTTTCAAAAGCACACGACAAATTGCAAATAAGTTGTACATTTTTTTTTTAAGCTGCAGTGAAAGTACCTCAATATGATCTGATATCAGCCTCTTAAAGTCTCTGTACAGCAGGGCTGGAGTAAGAAAGGAAGAAGCAGCACAAGAAGCCAATCATTTTGTGTGCTGACTACAAACATACTAATAGAATGAGAAACTAAAGTGACAAAGAGATTATCTCATCACTGTGCTGCTTCTCCTTTCACTGTTCAGTCACAGGCTGGGGTGGGTTCAGGATGACCTGGGCTCAAAGGGAGTGGGGTAAATGATGCTGGCCTTCAGACTGAGGACATCTAGAGGCCAAAGAAAGTACTGAGGGGGAATTTTCTGTATTAAAGATAAATTATCGATCTAAAGCTGTTTTTGTAATTTTAACTTTTAATGGGTTATTAATTTTTACAAGATGGTATAAAAAGTTTTTGTAACAGATGGCAGCACAAGGTTGCACACACAGTCACAGTGAGCACCAGCCTTCATAAGTCAGTGTGCTGAAAGACATCGTCCCGTGTTCATCGGGAGCTGTGCAACTGGTGCTATGTATGTTATCACATTTGCTATTTCATCATGGACAGCAAGTTAGAAGAAAGAGCAAACGTGAAACTTTGCACGAAACTGGGCAAATTGCTGGATCTCTACAATATTGTCAATATGGCAACTTTTGAGTTGGATTTTCATCTTCGGGAAGAGGGCATTTTTGGGGGTTGAGCTCATAGGTCTTCCTGCTCTCTCGTCGTCTTCCAGTGATATTCTTCCGCTCTTGAAGCGTGCATGCCACTCAAAACACCTCCAACGACTCATTGCAGCATCGCTGTAAACTTGCCAAATCATGCCAAGCGTCTCTGTGGCAGATTTGCCCAGTTTCACACAGAATTTTACGCTTGCTTTTTATTCTAATTTTCTGTCCATGATAAAATAGCAGACTTGGTAATGCACGTGGTCAGAATAGCATTAGCTGCACAGCTCCTGATGTACACAAGATGATTTTTTGGCACAATGACTTATGAAGGTCAGTGCTCCCTGTGACTGTGTATGCAGCTTAGTGCTGTTACAGAACTAGTCTTGAAACTTTTTGATACCTTATTTGGCTGGAGTTCTGCTCTAACCTGGTGCCATTCATCTCCAGTTCAGACTTTTTTGGGGGGTTTTCATAGTGTAGAAGTGTTAGAACCTCTTCCAGGTGTTTCCTCTTTCCCCCAATCCCTATCACTAGGGCTATGAGAATAGGGAAATTAGCACTGTAGAGGTGCAACAAAAACGTGTTTCATTACTAACATGGAAAGGGTTTTATCTGTCACTGTCCCCACTGAGATTTCTCACCCTGGGTATATCTTTAGGACCTCAGCAGTGGACAAATAGTCAGCAGCAGGGTAACTCATGGGGCCCCCGGGCAATGGGATCATGGGGCCCCTGTGTCCTTACCCAAACTCAAAAAAGCCTATGAAAAAGGTACCAGGGGCATCTCATGGGGCCCCCTACTGACCCCGGGCCCTCGGGCAGTGCCCGAGTTTCAAAATGGTCAGTCCTCCCCTGGTCAGCAGTGTGATTATTATGGATCAATTGTTTTGCACAGTTTCTTAACCAATGTGCCATAACATCCTGGGGTGCCCTTTGGTTTCCCCTGGGTGCCACAAGAATGAAACCCAGTTTGCCCTGGATCAGGAATGGATGAGAGGCTTTGTAATCCAGGGGGGGTTGGTCTCATACTGTCATGTGGGCTCTTATAGTGGGGAATCTGATGTGATGGAGGGACTCTAATGCGATAGGGGGTTGCTCTGATATAAAGTTCATTTATTCGAGATGATTGTGTGCATTTTCCCACACTCAGGTTTCCCATTGATAAGTTAACCACTTGCCCTCCATAGTATTTACCCCCCTTCCTGACCAGGCCATTTTTTTGTTATACGGTGCTGCAGTACTTTAACTGACAATTGTGCGGTCATGCAACTCTGCACCCAAATTAAATTTACATCATTTTTTTCCCACAAATTGAGATTTCTTTTTTGTTATTTGATCGTCTGTGCGTTTTTATTTTTTGCGCTATAAACATAAAAAATTGACAATTTTTAGAAAAAAAACCCCATAATTTTGACTTTTTGATATTAAACATATCCAGTAAAAAAATAAAACAATCAAATTTCATCATAAATTTAGGCCAAAATGTATTCTGCTACATGTCTTTGGTAAAAAAAAAAATCCCAATATGAGTAAATTAATTGGTTTATGTGAAAGTTATAGGGTTTACAAATGGCGGTATAGATACTGGGATTTTTTTTTCTACTGGTAATGGTGGCGATCAGCAACTTATAGAGGGACTGCGGCGGGCATTCTGAAACTGGGGGGAACTGACTTGGTGTCACTGACATCCCCACAGTGATCAGTGCTAATAAAACGCACTGGCACTGTACTAATGGCACTGGGCAGGAAGGGGTTAACATCTGGGGCAATCAAAGGGTTAACTGTGTGCTGTTTTACTGTGAGGCTGTGTCTGTGTTTCACTGTAAGCACACTGCTTTGTATGGCTCTGTTATGCAGAGCCATACAAAGCAGTATGCAGGAGCTGACAGGGGAGAGATCTGTATTATTTACATACAGGTCTTTCCCCCGTCGGAGATACTACGCGATCACCCTGGGTGCCAGCGAGTAATCACCGGTGATTGAAAGCCGAAGCTGCGAATGGCGGCGCCGGTAGGGCCCCCCCACCCAAAAACTGCAAAAATCATGTATGTATACGTGATTTTGCACACCCCTGCCACCCCCCGTTATATTTGTGCTATAAGGCAGAGGGGAAGCGGTTAACATTACATTTTTACATTTTGGACTGAGGTGCAAAATTTTGGACCTTGATTCTGCATACTTTTAAAGGGTTCCACCACTGAAAAAAGGTTTAGAAACACTGGTCTAGTGAGCTGGCCGGAAATACACCAAAGAGGTGAGATACAGGAAAATAATGGTGTCACCTCTATGGCTATGCATTAGTACTGTATATAAAGACTGGCTAAACAGAATTCAAATCTTCTGAGGGGTACCAACATAGACACAAGCAGAACAATCAACTATATCAGCCTTCGAAATTTCCATTTGCCCGCTCATCAGGCGAGTGGAAATAGGGTGGGGGCGAGCAGAGCCGGGACTAGCTGTGTGTGGGAGAGGCGACGGTGGGGGGGGTGATGAGCAGCGATCTTCTGTATGGCTTTCAATGAAGCAGCTGGAAGCCGCAGGAGGGAGAGGAGATGTGTGCTCCTCAGTGCCCAGTCTCCTATTGGTGCGGTGGATAGGCGGAGGGACTGGGCACTGAGGAGCACACGGGGGGGAGGGCAGGAAATAACTGGTGATCAGTTATGATCTGTGCAGTGGTGACAAGCAGCACTCTCCTGTATGTCTTTCAATGAAGCAGCCGGAAGATGATTCTCCTTCTCTCCCTCCCGCGACTTCCAGCTGCTTCATTGAAGGAGGAGGAGAAGGCAAGGCTGGATCTGCTCTCCCTCCCCCTGTGCACCCACACTTCAGATGAGCTGTGTGAGTGAGAAATTGAACACAGAGCAGCTGACAGTTCTGATGCATCTGAATGAGCATGTGAGTCCGACTTACCTACCTTCCCTCCACCCTCCCTTCCTTCCTTCCACCCACCCACCCCTTGCCTCCTTTCCTTCCTTCCACCCACTCCTTCCTCCCACCCGTCCCTTCTTTCCTTCCACCCCTCCCTTCTTTCCCCCCACCCCTTCCTTTCCTTCCTTCCACCACCCCTTCCTTCCCTCTGATCCTTGCTTCCACCCTTCCTTCCACCCACACTTCCTTCCACCCACCCACCTTCCTTCATTCCCTATGATCCTTCCTTCCACCTCTCCCTTCTTTCCTTTCACCACTCCCTTCCTTCCTTTCTTCCACCCCTCTCTTTGTTCCTTTTCTCCCTCCCTTCCTTCCACTCATCCCATCCTTCCACCTTTCTCCTCTGCCTTTCTTCCTTCCACCCCTCCTTCCCTTCCATCCATATCCTTTCTTCCTTCCTTCCCTTTGCATAAAATATTTAACAGTGCCATTTCATGAGATAATCTACAAGGGCGTGTTTAGGGGCGAAATTAGGGGTGGGGCAGGTTAGGTGGGGCAACTGGTGGCGATTATCTCTTAAGTCCTGGCTAGTAGCTCAGGACTTGAAATTTTGTGCCCTGAACTATAGCATTCATCCAGATTATGCTCACAACTACTATTGCCTTTCTTACATTGCAGAAATCAAACACGGGACTATATACTGATTGGCCGCTGACTGGTAAAGCGAGTAACACTTATTATCTTGTGATAATGGCACCTGAACGTGAGAGGGATATATTAGGCAGCAAGTGAACATGTTGTCCCTGAAGTTGATGTGTCGAAAGCAGAAAAATGGGCAATTGTAAAGCCGGCCATAGATGATGTGGGTTGCAGTTAAGAAAATTGCTGACTGTTGATGGGGGAATCCTTCCCATGGAGCCATTGAGTTCTTCCATCAGAGGGGGTGTGTGGGGAGCCATCCCTGCTGGGAGCACAGCGATTATTGCTGCAGTCACTGGCAATAATGGCATGTAAAAATCCAATCTGTTGGTTGGAGATGGGGCACTGGTAAAGATGAGCTAGTTGGACCTTTTCGGCTTGAAGATGGACTTTCTTCAAGCAGTGGTACAGGAAAAAGTCTGCATCTTTCAAGAAAAACCGTGATATTTATGCAATGCTCCATCGCAGGCATCAAAGTATTCCATTGCATGGCTAGCTAGTAAAGGCCTTAAAGATTAAAGAATAATGACATGCCCCCCTTCCTCACCTGACCTAAACCCTATTGAGAATGTGTGGGAGGCTGTGGTTGCTGCTGCACAAAAAGTTGATTGTCAACAAATCAAGAAACTGACTCCATGAATGGAAGGAGACTGTTATTGAAAAGAAGGGTGGCTATATTGGTCACTAATTTTTTTAATTTTTTTTTTAAATGTCAGAAATGTTTATTTGTAAATTTTGAGTTGTTTGTTCACTATTCTAACACTAACCACTTACTAACTACTAACCTCCAAAGCGCTGAGCAAACTGTTGGCGCTATAGAAATCCTGTATAATAATAATCACTTGCGCTCCAGAGGATTTACCCCACTTCCTGACCAGGCCATTTTTTGCGATACGGTGCTTTGTTACTTTAACAGGCAATTGCGCGGTCATGCATGAAATTTATGTCCTTTTTCCCCCACGAATAGAGCTTTCTTTCGGTGGTGTTTGATCACCTCTGCGTTTTGTATTTTTTGCACTATAAACAAAAAAATACAGACAATTTTGCAAAAAAAACAAAAAAAAACTATATTTTTGACTTTTTGCTATAAAACATATCCAGTAAAAACAAAATTGAAAAAAAGAAAATCACATTTCATCATAAATTTAGGCCAAATGTATTCTATGTCTTGGCCAAAAAAAAAAAAATCCCAATACGTGTAAATTAATTGTTTACGTGAAAGTTATAGTGTTTACAAATAGCGGTATAGTGAAAATTCTAGTTACAAGTAATGGCAGCGATCAGCGACTTAGATACTGAAAAACTTCTACATTAATTTCTTGTGCTATTAGTAAATGGCAGCGAGGCAATCAGCGACTTTTTATAGTGCTGGGACTGCAAGCTTGTTTTTCTGACATGGGGGGGGGGGGGAAGACTAACTGTCACTGACATCCCAACAACACTAATAGTGATCAGTGCTAATAAAACTAATGTACTAATAACACTGGGCGGGAAAGGGTTAATATTTGAGGCGATCAAAGGGTTAACTGTGCGCTGTTTTACTATCTGTGCTGTGTGTGTTTTTCTAGGGAAACATGCTGCTGTGTATTTCTCTGCTGTGCAGAGAAATACACAGCAGCGTGTTATTGCTGGCAGGAGAGAGACCTGTGTTGTTTACACACAGGTCTCTCCCCTGACACTGCTTCTCGGTGATCGCCGGTGGGGAATCTCCGGCTGGGACCTTGTGATCGACATCTGTAGCTGCCAATGGTGGCACGGGTAGGGTGGTACATGCATGTGCCCCTATCCGGAAATGCAAAATCACGTAAAAATACATTATTTTGCACACCCCTGCAGCAGTATTTCTGCTACAGGGTGGAGGGCAACTGATGAAAATAAACAAGTGAGATGGGAAAATGTTCATTTTTCAGAGTTGGAATCACTGCAAGCGTTCTATACACAAGGCTCCTCTAGTAGATTATCAAGCAAAGGGATCTTCTGACATAACGTCCACATCACCTTAATATTATACAACCCAAAACCAAAAATGTTATATACTGCATCTTACCAATCATTAGATGTGGTGGCTGCATTAGTTTTCTGTGTTTTTTTTAGGCTTTTTCCCGTGTTTCACCTGGTGTGATCTGGTCAGTAACCTCCTGTATAAGAACACCCCCATTCTGGATTAAACAGCACACTTTGGACAGCATTGTCCATCTGGGAGGAGGGGAGTGTTAGATGGACTAGCAGATTTAAATACACTAATAAATTGTAGCTGAACTCCATCTAATACTTTATATTTATCTATTTATTTTGGGATAAAGGTTTTACATAATTAAACAAAAGCTAGTGATGCACCGATACATCAGCCTCCAAAAATGATCAGCCGAAAATAAGGTTATCAGTGTTTTGCCGATAGGAAAAAAAAAGGCGCCAAAAATAATTGACTTCAATCCAAATTCTCGTCCTTTTGACTTCAATGCAAAAATGTCCCCTATGGACTTCAATGCAAAAATGCCTGCTATTAACTTCATGCAAAATTGTGTCCCATTGACTTCCATGAAAATCGCCCCCTTTTGACTTCAATGCAAAAATGCCCCCTATTGACTTCAATGCAAAAACAGCTCTATTTAAGTTTTCTAAATTTTATACAGTGGGTAAAATAGGTATTGAACACGTCACCATTTTTGTAGGTAAGTATATTTCTAAATTTGCTATTTGAATGAAATGTTTGCCACATGTTGGTAACAACCCATGCAATCCATACATACAAAGAAACCAAAATAAAGAAGTTCAGAAATTAAGTTATGTGTAATAAAATGGAATGACACGGGGAAAAAGCATTGAACACATGAAGAAAGGAAGGTGCAAAAAGGCATGGAAAGCAAAGATAGCAGCTGAAATCTATCAGTAATGAGAAAGCAACCCTGCCCCTTGTCAGTGCAAATGAATATCAGCCAGTTCAGTTTCATTTGATGGCCTATAAAAAGTCTCATTAGCAAGGTGTCACACAAGAAACATCTCATGATGGGTAAAGGCAAAGAGCTCTCTCAAGACCTTCACAACCTTATTGTTGAAAAACATACTGATGGCATTGGTTACAGAAGGATTTCTAAACTTCTGAATGTTCCAGTAAGCACCGTTGGGGCCATAATCCGGAAGTGGAAAGAATATAATTTCACCATAAACCAGCCATGAGAAGTGAAAAAAATTATCAGAAGGGTTGTCTATGACCACTTGTGGAGAGCTTCAGAAAGACCAGGAATTAGGAGGTACAATTATTTCAAAGAAATCAATAAGTAATGCACTCAACCAACATAGCCAGTATGCACGCTCACCATGCAAGCTCCATTGCTGAAGAAAGAACATGTTGAAGCCAGGGGCAGACTGACCATTTGGAAACTCGGGCACTGCCCGAGGGCCAGGGGTCAGTAGGGGGCCCCACGAGATGCCCCTGGTATCGTTTTCATAGGCTTTTTTGAGTTTGGGCAAGGACACAGGGGCCCCATGATCCCCTATTGCCCGGGGGCCCCATGAGCTGTCAGTCCGCCCCTGGTTGAAGCTCGTTGAAAGTTTGCTGCACAACATTTTGACACGCCTGTGAAATACTGGAAGGATATAGTCTGGTCAGACGAGACCAAAATTGAATTAGATTGGCTGTCAGTACTTCAGGATTGATCGATTTTCAGATCTATACCATAGTTTGTGAACTCTATAACTTTCCTACAAACTAAATAATAAACACTGATTTGGGTTATTTTCACCAAAGACATGTAGCAGATTACATCTCGGCCTACATTTATGAAGAACAATTATTTATTTGCAAACTTTTATAACAGAAACAAAGAAAAACGTGGGTTTTTTTTTCAAAATTTTCGGTCTTTTTATGTTAATTTAGCAAAAAAATAAAAACCCCAGCGGTGATTATTACCACCAAAAGAAAGCTCTAGTTGTGTGAAGAAAATGATAACATTTTAGTTTGGGTACAATGTTGTATGACCGCGCAATTGTCATTCAAAGTGTGAGAGCGCTGAAACCTGAAAAATGGCCTGGGCAGGAAGGGGGTAAAAGTGCCCGGTATGGAAGCGGTTAAATAATTTCAGTTAGTGTGTTCAATACTTTTTCCCTGTGTCATTCCATTTTTTTTTTTTTTTTTTTTTACACATAATTTCTGGGGTTTTTTTGTATGTATGGATTTCATGGGTTACCGACGTGTGGTAAAACTTTCATGTCAATAGCACCTTCAGAAATATATTTACTGAGAAAAATGGTGACGTGTTCAATACTTATTTTACCCGCTGTATACATTTCATTTTATTTTCTGTCCAACTTTTGTGTGTTATGTTCAGTAGAAGTTATTTTAAGTTACTAGATTGTTTAAATTCATGATATTAATAAAAAAGTGGAATATAATACAATTATATATAAAAAACATTTATTAAAAAACTGCCCATTTCGGTCATTGTAAGCACCCTTGCCAGTGTTAAATGTTTTGTATCATCTCTGTAACTGATAGTCTGCTGGAGAATTTGTTCTTTTGAAAAACAACATACTCACTGGCTGGATCACCAAGTGAAAAGAAAGCCTAAAAAAGAAAACGAATGCAGCCATCACATCAAAGAACTGGTAAGCTGCAATATAATAAATGTTTGCTTTTGGGTTCAATAATGCTATAATTAGACATTTGAGTAGCTTTCAAAATACATGAAATGGAACACTGAATGCAAAAGTATTGCTTGAGATCAGTAATTAAAATGAATGGGTGATCTGAAAGTACAATAATAATAGCTGCAACATTACTGGTAATCTGCCCATGTAACACATACACTATACTTCCAAAAGTATTGGTCCAGCCTTCCAAATCATGTGATTCAGGTGTCCCAATCCCCTCCATGGCCACAGGTGTATAAAATCATCCCCTAGGCATGCAGACTGCTTCTACAAACATTTGTGAAAGAATGGGTCGCTCTCAGGAGCTCAGTGACTCCAAGCGTGGTCCTGTGATAGGTTGTCACCTGTGCAATAAGTCCATCCGTGACATTTCCTTGTTACTAAATATTCCACGGCCAGCTGTTAGTGGGATTATAACAAAGTGTAGGCAACTGGGAACAACAGCAACTCAGCCACCAAGTGGTAGGCCACTTGACAGAGCGGGGGTCAGCGCATGCTGAAATGCACAGTGCGCAGAAGTCACCAACTGTCTGCAGAGTCAATAGCTAAAGACCTCCAAACTTGGTGTGGCCTTCAGATTAGCACAACAACAGTGTGTAGAGAGCTTCATGGAACGGGTTTCCATGGGCGAGCAGCTGCATCCAAGCCTTACATCACCAAGTGCAATGCAAAGCGTCGGATGCCGTGGTGTAAAGCACGCCGCCACTGGACTCTAGAGCAGTGGGGACGAGTTCTCTGGAGTGACCAATCACACTTCTCTGTCTGGCTGGATTTGGCAGTTGCCAGGAGAACGGTACTTGCCTGACTGCACTGTGCCTAGTGTACAGTTTGGTGGAGGGGAGATTATGGTGTGGGGTTGTTTTTCAGGGGTTGGGCTTGGCCCCCTAGTTTCAGTGAAGGGAACTCTTAAGGTGTCAGCATACCAAGACATTTTGGACAATTTCATGCTCCCAATTTTGTGGGAGGAGTTTGGGGATGGCCCCTTCCTGTTCCAACATGACTGTGCACCAGTGCACAAAGCAAGGTCCATAAAGACATGAAGGAGCAAGTTTGGGGTGGAGGAACTTGACTGACCTGCACAGAGTCCTGACCTCAACCCCATAGAACACCTTTGGAATGAATTAGAGCGGAGACTGTGAGCCAGGCCTTCTCGTCCGACATCAGTGCCTGACCTCACAAATGCGCTTCTGGAAGAATGGTCAAACCTTCCCATAGACACCCTCCTAAACCTTGTGGACAGCCTTCCCAGAAGAGATGAAGCTGTTATAGCTGCAAAGGGCGGGCCAACTCAATATTGAACCCTACGGACCAAGACTGGGATGTCATTGAAGTTCATGTGTGTGTAAAGGCAGGCCGACCAATACTTTTGGCTGTATAGTGTATTTTGCAGCTAACCAATCCTTCAACATGGTGGCTCTGTTAATTTTTCTTTTTTTAAGGTTTTTTTCCCCTTCTGTTTTCAGAGTGCCCCCACTCTGGATGAAAGAGCCCTGGCTCAGGTTTCTGTGCTGAGAGTACTGATCACTCCTGGTGCGCTTCCAGCATGGTGACAGAACTCCTGGTCTCTAGTAATGGTCGTAAGCTGGCAGGACTGGCTCTTGACCATGTGACCAGTATTAATACCCAACCACAGTGGTCAAGTGATCGGGCAAGTCCTTCCCACCCCTTGGGCATAATAATCCAATTAATTGGATGCTGTGGCTGGGTTAATCGACACCCACTCTACAGCCACTCCCACCTGCACTAATACACTATGTGTATACCTGAAAGGTAAAGGGGAACAGAAGAGGGCGCCAAATTAAGCGTAGCAGTTACAAAAGCTTTATTGGGTAAAAGAAAAATGGCGACTCATGTAATATTATATAAAAGAACACATCTCATCCAAGATGGTGGAGTAACAGCAGTTTCTCTATTGACCTGCAGCTGGTTCCATGCCAGAACATCAGAGTGACTGTAGCTGGCTGGGTGTAGTGATGTACCACGGACGTCCCATATTGAAGTGCCACTAATGGAGGTGTGGCTACGTGTTTCGGAGCTTTAATGCTGCGTTCTCAAGCCTCTCAAGTGGCTTAAGAATGGAGCATTGAAGCTCTGAAATGAGTAGCCACACCCCCAATTGTGCACTCCAACGCATGGCGTTGTTCCGCTGTTTGTGTTCCATCGAGACTTCGGCTTCCTGGAGATCAGTGCTTCCTGCTTACACGCCTAACATCCGGCCAGTAGTGGTCCCTCTGATGTCCTGGCATGGAACCAGCTGAAAGGACATAGAGAATCCGCTGTTAATCAACCATGTTGGATGAGATGTGTTCTTTTTTCACCATTTGTCTTTTACCCATTAAAACATTTGTATCTGCTACAATTAATTTGGCGCCCTCTACTGTTTCTTTTTATTTTATAGAGATTGCTTCAGTCTTTTTGGAGGTGCTGCTACAAGTGTTCTAGGATGTGAAAGGACTCTACCTGGTTCAGTCTATGATGGACCTTTAAACCTGTTCTACATCCTTGTTTTAATAATGTGCCTTACCTCATGTATGTGCCATTATCCCAGTATTGCTTGTACACCTGGAAAGCAAAGCCATATACAGTAAGTGTGATCTACAGACCCCATTAAAGACAATGAAAACTAAACAAATTATTTGTTTTTTTGTCTTTTTTTAATCCAAATTGCAATCATATTAAATTAAAGATTGTAACGAACAATTACAGCTGAGCAATGATTTATGGCAGATAATGAGTTGTTGGTTTGTTCTGTACACAATATAAGACAAATACAAAAGTTAAAAAAGAACTCCAAATTAAAAATAAAATCTTTAAAAAAAAACCTCAAAATAAAATATAAAACGTCAAGTTAAATTATTGCTTCCATTCCACAAAAAAAGTGCATTACATATACAGGCTGGTTGGCTGCGCTATGCATCCCATGAAACATTGCATAAAGGTTTATATATATATATATATATATTATATACACACATATATATATATACATATATATATATATATTTATTTATTTTTTTTTTACCTTAAATATTGGAGGGCTAAAAATTGTATAAGAGTTTCTCTCAGCTGAGGTATAAAAAGGGATAAAGGGATATAAATAATCCGGAAATCACTATAAAGGCCAATTGTAGATTCAAAGTCGGGTTTGGTTTATCAGACCAATAATTACAATAATATTAATTTGTTATTCTTATAAAAAAAAAACTCTGCACAAGGACACTAGCTGACTATAACCTGATATTTAAAACTTAAGTTCGATTAACAATAATATTAATAATAATAATAATAATAATAATATATGCTTTACACTTAAAAAGTCAGACAATTTGCAGACAAAATAAAGATTGTACTTTCTCTTCCATAATAATATAGATATGTACATCAAAAATAGAATTCCAGGAAGGCATTGGATTGTTGCTAGAAAAAAAAAAAAAAAAAGTCCCATATAAATGTGCATACGTCTCCATTTTAAGACCAAGGAAATCTTTTTTCAAATAGACGAGGTACCTAGAGAGAAGGAGAAAAAAAAGTTGAGAATTCAGATTTGTACATTTTTCCATAAATACATTTAAAATATGTAAACCCAAATAATGAATTTCTTTTATTTGCTCCCTTCTGGTCTGTTATCACTTCAATATCGGGCACTTTCACCCCCTTCCTGCCCAGGCCAGTTTTCAGATTTCAGCACTGTCGCACTTTGAGTGACAATTGCGCGGTCATGTTTGTATAGGAGAAAAACAACCCCCCTTTATGTACTCTGGCATCACCAGAGTATATAAAAGCTACATCAATTTTTTTATTAGACAAAGATGAGTGAGAGCCATAAAAACATTGAGTAGTCGATTTTACATTCAATAATTACAATGATACCATACAAAATTGTGTCGACATAACGGAGTTCCTAGTTAGCATCCAACGCGTTTCAGAGTAACTTTACTCCTTCAGGGTCAAAAAAAGACAGATAGCCTCTAAAGGACTGAAACACATATTACAGTCCTACAATAGTTATGACAGTTGTGGACAGTATTGTTATATAAATGTCAAAATCACAATACTCAGAACATACTATGATAGAGACCAAGTGAAAAAGCATCAGTAATTGAATTTCCGCCATATTAAAAACATTTGGTGTGATCAGGTCCATGACTCCTCCCCAGACCGCATCCAGACAGGCATTAACCAGGCCAGGCCAGGCCAGGGTCCCCCCCCCCCCCCCAAGACAACACTGAGGCCGCGCCAATAGCCACAGAGGCAGGATATATATATCAGGGGCGGACTGACCATTTGGAAACTTGGGCACTGCCCGAGGGCCCGGGGTCAGTAGGGGGCCCCATGAGATGGCCTTGGTACCTTTTTCATAGGTTTTTTGAGTTTGGGCAAGGACACAGGGGCCACATGATCCCCTATTGCCCATGAGTTGTCAGTCCGCCCCTGATATATATATATATATATATATATATATATATATATATATATATATATATATATATATATATATATAATATAAAAAGCAACAATAGTAACCATAAAGTAACCAAAATAGAAACAGTCATAGTACCATAGACACATATAGCAAAAAAGAGATATATAAGAGCTTATTAACCACTTCCAGTCCGCACACTTTCACCCCCTTCCAGTCCAGGCCAATTTTCAGCTTTCAGCGCTATCACACTTTGAATGACAATTGTGCGGTCATGCAACACTGTACCCATATGAATTTTTTTAGCATTTTTTGAGACATATAAATAACTTTATTTTGGTGGTATTTATTCACCGCTGGGATTTTTATTTTTTTTTTGCTATATAAATGAAAAAGTCCAAAAATGTTCAAAGAAAAAGGGTTTTTCTTATAACATTTTGCAAATAATCTTTCTTCAGAAATCTTGGTCAAAATTGATTCAGTTATCTTTTTAGTAAAAAAAAAAAAACCCAAATTAGTTTATAACCAAAATTATAATATTTAAAAAAAAAATGTTTTTACATTTTTATATTATGTTTTGTTTTTTTTTTTTTACATACTGTCACCCTAGCAGTACAGTGACACTGTACTACTTGTGGGGGTTGATGAAGATTTTTTTTTTTTTTTTTACACGGATTGCTTTTATACCCATAAAGGCTGTAGAAGCAATAATTTCTCCTTCTCTCTGACTGTATTCTTGCAGCCATTGAGAAATACCTCTAGGCGCACCCTGAAAACCCATCTGTTCAGAGAGGCCTACCCCGCCCTCACCTAATTGCTGATCTCCACTCTCCCCACCACTCCATACCCCACAGCTATTTCCTCCCGTACCACTCTCCCCTCCTTCCTAGATTGTAAGCTCCAAGGAGCAGGGCCCTCGAACCCCTCATGTATTGTATTATTATACAGTATTTATATAGCTCTAAAAGGTTTGCTCAGCGCTGTACATTATAGTGGGGGTATTGTTACTGTGCTGTCTCATGTATTGTCTCCCATTATAATGTACAGCGCTGAGCAAACTGTTGGCGCTATATACTGTATAATAATAATACTGTGTGAGCTGTGATTGGTCACAGCTGGTCACATGGTACAAGGCTGTTGTGAATAAGCTTGTACCATGTGACCTCTGTGATCATTCACAGATTTCACACGCAATAAGCAATGATGTCACAAGTGACTGCTACTATTCATATGATCACTGATTGGCCAATCAGTGATCACATGATCGGGAAGTCACACAGAGTTACCGTACAATGATCGGTGTTCCGCTGTGTCTGGAGGACACAGCGGGCACCAGATCGTGGTGCTGCACGCTCCCAGGGAGTGCGCACAAGCAGGGAAGCGGGGAGGACGTTTATAAATGGCCACCCGACCCTGCTCCCGTCTGGCCATTTATATATACATGGGCCGGACGGGAGGTGGTTAAATCTAGTAAAACACCCACCTCTGTTAAAGTAAATGTGCATTATTGCTGAACCACTATTATCAAGCAATTTATTTATTTATTTCAGGTACTTCTATAGCGCCGTCAATTTACATATACAGTCAGGTCCATAAATATTGGGACATTGACACAATTCTAACATTTTTGGCTCTATACACCACCACAATGGATTTGAAACGAAACGAACAAGATGTGCTTTAACTGCAGACTGTCAGCTTTAATTTGAGGGTATTCACATCCAAATCAGGTGAACGGTGTAGGAATTACAACAGTTTTCATATGTGCCTCCCACTTGTTAAGGGACCAAAAGTAATGGGACAATTGGTTTCTCAGCTGTTCCATGGCCAGGTATGTGTTATTCCCTCATTATCCCAATTACAATGAGCAGATAAAAGGTCCAGAGTTCATTTCAAGTGTGCTATTTGCAGTTGGAATCTGTTGCTGTCAACTCTCAAGATGAGATCCAAAGAGCTGTCACTATCAGTGAAGCAAGCCATCATTAGGCTGAAAAAACAAAACAAACCCATCAGAGAGATAGCAAAAACATTAGGCGTGGCCAAAACAACTGTTTGGAACATTCTTAAAAAGAAGGAACGCACCGGTGAGCTCTGCAACACCAAAAGACCCGGAAGGCCACGGAAAACTGTGGTGTGATGACCGAAGAATTCTTTCCCTGGTGAAGAAAACACCCTTCACACAGTTGGCCAGATCAAGAACACTCTCCAGGAGGTAGGTGTATGTGTGTCAAAGTCAACAATCAAGAGAAGACTTCACCAGAGTGAATACAGAGGGTTCACCACAAGATGTAAACCATTGGTGAGTCTCAAAAACTGGAAGGCCAGATTAGAGTTTGCCAAACGACATGTAAAAAAAGCCTTCACAGTTCTGGAACAACATCCTATGGACAGATGAGACCAACATCAACTTGTACCAGAGTGATGGGAAGAGAAGAGTATGGAGAAGGAAAGGAACTGCTCATGATCCTAAGCATACCACCACATCAGTGAAGCATGGTGGTGGTAGTGTCATGGCGTGGGCATGTATGGCTGCCAATGGAACTGCTTCTCTTGTATTTATTGATGATGTGACTGCTGACAAAAGCAGCCGGATGAATTCTGAAGTGTTCCCAGCAATATTATCTGCTCATATTCAGCCAAATGCTTCACAACTCATTGGACGCTTCACAGTGCAGATGGACAATGACCCAAAGCATACTGCAAAAGCAACCAAAGAGTTTTTTTTAAGGGAAAGAAGTGGAATGTTATGCAATGGCCAAGTCAATCACCTGACCTGAATCTGATTGAGCATGCATTTCACTTGCTGAAGACAAAACTGAAGGGAAAATGCCCCAAGAACAAGCAGGAACTGAAGACAGTTGCAGTAGAGGCCTGGCAGAGCATCACCAGGGATGAAACCCAGCGTCAGGTGATGTCTATGCGTTCCAGACTTCAGGCTGTAATTGACTGCAAAGGATTTGCAACCAAGTATTAAAAAGTGAAAGTTTGATTTATGATTATTCTGTCCCATTACTTTTGGTCCCTTAACAAGTGGGAGGCACATATGCAAACTGTTGTAATTCCTACACCATTCACCTGATTTGGATGTAAAAACCCTCAAATTAAAGCTGACAGTCTGCAGTTAAAGCACATCTTGTTCGTTTCATTTCAAATCCATTGTGGTGGTGTATAGAGCCAAAAATGTTAGAATTGTGTCGATGTCCCAATATTTATGGACCTGACTGTATATTGTACATTCACATTAGTCCCTAACCCTCAAGGGGCCTACAATCTAAGGTCCCTAACTCACATTCATACATACACATACTAGGGACAATTTAGACAGGAGCCAATAACCTACCAGCATGTCTTTGGAGTGTGGGAGGAAACCGGAGTACCCAGAGGAAACCCATGCAGGCACAGGGAGAACATGTAAACTCCAGGCAGGTGGTGCCGTGGTTGGGATTCGAACCAACGACCCTAGTACTGCCAGGCGGAAGTGCTAACCTTTTAGCCACTGTGCTGCCCATAAGCAATAGGTAGAGAGGTACAATTCCTTGAGCCCTGCGATCCTCCAATAGTATAAATCACAGTTCATCCAAAGGATCCATAAAAAGGGTATACAAAACAAAGGCAATAAAAGCCTATATGGGATCACAATGGGATATATGACCATATTATTGCATATCAGTCCCCCAAAAGTAAGCCATAGACTAACACAACCAAACAAGCATTATCAACTTATCCAGCTGGAAAACATACAGCAGGGCTGCGGGAGGTTGTATCAAACTTCACACAGAGTCCCAAACAAGACCGAAATCAGGAAAAGGGATCTATTTATATCCGCCCTCTGAACACCTGAATTGATTCAGGGATGGCGCAAAAATGCCAGGGCACAGCCCGTCCCTCTACCTCCAGACATAGGGCCACACCAACTGATGCCAGGCGGGATGACGTCATGCGTTGGCGCGTCGCCGACACGCACAGAGTGGCCATGGGGTGGGGAGAGATGGAACGCAAACCCCACAGAGGGAGAGACACAAGGGCTGCAACAAAAAGACCGCGCCCACCACAGAGTGGTGACGCGGCCTGCGTGTCCCGGGCACCCCCCCCCCCAGCGGCACACACAAGAACCATGCAGCAGCCCACCATGGACTGAGCCCGGAGAGACAAAAGGACTGGGCCACACACCAACGTACCACTCAAAATACAGCAAGTTCATGAAAAATTGCATACATCACAATATATAAACAAAATGGACTTATGATGAAAATATCATCAATATAGCGATAGTATCTGTATGGTTTTTGTTCCATGCTGTTCGGGAATTTTTCCTCCAGGTCAGCCATAAATAAATTGACATATTGGGTGCCATTTTACTTCCCATCGCAGTGCCCATACATTGGAGATAGATGTCTTTATCGAAAGAAAACGTTTGAACTAAGAATGATAATTCTATTTGATACAAGAGATTCCGGCCTTAATTTGGACATGGGATTCCTCACTCATTATTATTATTATTATACAGTATTTATAAAGCGCCAATAGTTCGCTCAGCGCTGTACATTACAAAGGGGGACAGAACATGTGACAGAACAATACCAATACAATGCAAAAACATGAGGGGATCGAGGGCCCTGCTCTTTCGAGCTTACAATCTAGGAGGGAAGGGATGGTGGCACAGGAGGAGATAGCTGTGGGGGATGGGGTGGTAGGAAGAGTGGAGGAGGTTGGCAAGTTAGCAGGGGGTGGGGTAGGCTTCCCTGAAGAGGTGGGTTTTCAGGGTGCACCTAAAGGAGAAGAGAGTAGGTGATAATCTGATGGGTTGGGGCAGGGAGTTCCAGAGGATGGGTGACACCCTGGAGAAGTCCTGGAGGCGGGCATGGGAGGAGGAGACCAGGGAACTAGATAGAAGGAGGTCTTGTGAGGAGCGGAGTGTGCGTGCTGGGCGGTACTTGGATATTAGGTTGGTGATGTAATTATCCAACAGTTTTACGACCCCCTCTGTGAGTGTTGTCCCCCCCCAGTCTTTGCTTTTGTTGTGTCTTATCTCTAGTCTAATCCTAGTCTTACAACCATTGCTGTGTACATTTGTTTGTGTGTGTTTCTTTCTGTTTTGTTTTTTTTTTCTCCCCCTTACAACATCTCTTCAAACATTCTGCTAAAACGTTGTGACGTAGTACTGCTTGGACCTTGAAGAAGGGGACATACCCCGAAAGCTTTTCCTCAAAATGATTTGTTAGTGCAAATAAAAAAAAGTATCACGTCAGTACTAATTGTTTCTGGGATTATTATGATATTTAGAGGACTTCTATATTTTCATTTTTTATACCGTCCATTTTGTTTCTTCATTGGAGTATTCACAATTCCCTATTTCTTTTTTATGAGGTTTCCTTTCTTTTTTACAATCACACGGGTCATCATTGATTATAAACACATTTTTATTAGCGCTGCACACTGATATTATAGTATATGGTACACAGTGTTCACATGCCCAGGTGGACACAGCGGGTAACAGAACTTGCCCCTGCGTTGATGCTAGGGCGCGTGCCTGGAGGACGTCATATGACATCCTCCTTAGATAAATGGTGCTCCAGCCTGGCCATTTATTATAATAGGCCAGGCAGGAGGTGGATAAATAAACCACTTCTAGCATTTTATCATAAATTTCAAAGAAAAAAAAAACGCTTGCAGCAAATCACAGCAAAGAGAAAAAGCATCTCGCTTTATATCCTGATAATCAATGCGTATGTATAGATACCACTTCCCGACCGGCCATTGCATATAAACGGCCGGACGGTGGCACTGCAGGGTCGGGTGGCCGTTTATAAACGGCCTCTCCGCACCCTGCTTGTGCGCGCTCCCTGGGAGCGCGCAGCACCACGATCCGGTGCCCGCTGTGTCCTCCGGACACAGTGAAACACCGATCGTCGGGTGGGACCTCTGTACGAGGTCCCGATCATGTGATCACTGATTGGCCAATCAGTGATCACATGCAAAGTAGTAAGCAAGATGTCACTTGTGACATCATTGCTTACTACGTGTGAAATCTGTGAATGATCACAGAGGTCACATAGTACAAGGCTATTCACAACAGCCTTGTACCATGTGACAAGCTATGACCAATCACAGCTCACTCAGTACTTCTCAATGAGTGCAAGAATGCAGCCAGAGAGAAGGAGAAATGATTGCTTTTACATCCTATATGGGTGTAAAAGCAATCAGTGTACAAAAAAAAAAAATCTTCATCACCCCCCACAAGTAGTACAGTGTCACCATGGTGACACTGTACTGCTAGGGTGACAGTATGTAAAAAAAAAAAAAAAAAAAAAAATAATAATATAAAAAAAATAAAATAAAAATGTAAAAAAAAAAATGTTTAAAAACTATAATTTTTGGTTATAAACTAATTTGGATTTTTTTTTTTTTTTACTAAAAAGATAATGGAATAAATTTTGGCCAAGATTTATGTTGAAATATTATTTATTTGCAAAATTTTATTTAAAAAAAACACTTTTTTTTTTTCAAAATTTTTGGACTTTTTCATTTACATAGCAAAAAAAATTAAAATCCCAGCGGTGAATTAATACCACCAAAATAAAGCTTTATCTGTCTCAAAAAAATGGTAAAAAATTATTTTGGGTACAGTGTTGCATGACCGCGCAATTGTCATTCAAAGTGTGATAGCGCTGAAAGCTGAAAATTGCCCTGGTCAGGAAGGGGGTGAAAGTGGTTAAGAGACAGTACTGAATCTCATAATGTCAATGTCAACCATGGAGTTTTGCATCTTTGCACATTATTTATGCTGTTGAGTTTGATCATTAGCACTTTTTTATGCATGATAATTGCCGTGTATCTGAAGCTAACAACACGTGCATCGTTACAGATTCACAGCTTTAGTAAACTTTATTCCATTTCATTATTTTTAACATGCACATGGTTCACATTACTCACATCCAGATTTCGCACTGCCCCTTAGGCATCTAAGCATTTTGTTAGATTTGCTCCTTTTTATAAATGCTTTTTGTTTCCTACTCCCTGTTTTTAATTTACTCCAAGTTTCTTGCTTTTTTTCCCCCTTTTCTATACAACAGTTAAACATCAGCAATTGAACTGTTAGGGGTGTGTATGCAACTGAATAAAATGGTAACAATGGAAAAAAAAAAAAAAGAAAACGAATGCGGCAATTGCAATTAAGGACTGGTAAAGTTCAGTATATTAAATTTTTTTTAGATACATTTTAGCATTTCTACAAATAGAATCTGTAATTACATTACAGCCCTTTCACACTGATCAGTTTTTCAGTAAAAAAAAAAAAAAAAAAAAAGAGGAAGAAAAATGCATGAAAAATGTATATTTGTTATGTATTTATTTCAGGTACTTGTATAGCGCCGTCAATTTTATGCAGCACTTTACACATATATATTGTACATTCACATCAGTCCCTAACCCTCAAGGGGTGTACAATCTAAGGTCCCTAACTCACATTCATACATACACATACTAGGGACAATTTAGACAGGAGCCAATTCACCTACCAGCATGTCTTTGAAATGTGGGAGGAAACCGGAGTACCTGGAGAAAACCCACGCAGGCACAGGGAGAACATGCAAACTCCAGGCAGGTGGTGCCGTGGTTGAGATTTGAACCAATGACCCTAGTACTGCCAGGTGGAAGTGCTAACCATTCAGCCACTGTGCATCCTTTAAATTCTGTGGAACTCTTTGCACCAGTCAGTTGCTTTTCAGTTGTGTTTTTAATTGTTCCGCTTGCTGCAATTTTGGTGCACATTTAAAACCACACCAAAAACGCACCTACCCATTGAAAAATGCATCAAAACGCACCCAGTTGTGAATGCGTTGTGTTTTTTTGAGTCACATGTCCATGTTTCACAGGTGCACGCTGGTGTCTGGCAACCAGAAAACGTACCGCAAATGTAGCAAACGCGCATTTGCGTTTTTCTCTCTCTTTTTTTGCTAACGTGAAAGCAGCATTACTAGGAGTTCTGATAGGACATGTTTATAGAAGACCTGTACTTGTTATCCCCTCTGTGAACCGGTTGTGAAGAGACAGTGAAAAAGGCTGTATGAGATTGCAATCACCAATGTAGCAGTCTTTATACACAACCCCATCCTTCCTATCCATTTCGCTGGTAGTGAATGCAAGCTGTATATCAATGTTGCTGGACACAATGCCACATGCTGAAAAAACATTAATCTCTGTGCCCTTTAACAGCTGCCCCATCAAAGAACACTGACAACTCCAGGTCTTGTCTGACAATCAGGGAAAAAAAAATCAGCACAGATTTGAAGGTGTGATCGCCAGCGTTTAGTTAGCACAAAACGCCTATACTATACGGCCAAAAGTTAATGGACACCAGATCAGCATGTCAATATCAACTTGTTGGATGACCCATTCCATACCCATAGGCATTAATGTGGCGTTTACACAGCAAGTAGGCAGAGAAAACAGTAAAATAAATGGCCACTGCCCCAGTCTATAACTGGCCTTCACAGCAAGGAGCGCAAGAAAGGAGAGAGAAAACAATACGTTCACAACTGGAGCGATTCACACTTTGGGGGGAATTCAGTAAAATTGCTGCACCGCTTTTCTGGCATTAAGCCCTCTTGTTAAAGTACTGCGACAAATTCAAACCGGCAGCTACAGGCATTAACCTGGTATGAAAAGTTTTGGCTGGTGATGCCGGTAAAAGCGATCCTAGTGGCTAATTATCCGCTGGATTGCTTTGATCCGAGGTTCACAGCTAAGCATTTTCCGCAGCGTTTTACAGAAACGCACTACAGTCCATTTAACATGATTTCCTATAGAACACGTTCGCATCTCCGCGTTTTCACCCAGGGCGTTTTTTGGAAAGGGTCAGGGACTTTTATTAATGCAAAAAGTTGAGTTTTTGGTTCTATAGAAGTCAATGGAAACGCTGCAGAAAAACATGTAGTGCGTTTTTGCTGTGTTTTTGATGAGTTTTGCATTTTGTGAAATCTGCCTAGCAACAAGAATAAAAAAAAAAAAAAAAACATAAAAACACATTAAACACATAGAAACGTGTCAAACGCAAACTGTATAGGAGTGAACCTAGCCTTACAGGTGGTGGAAGGGGTCCCCCCACCTCCCACCGCCTTCCTGGGCTCTCCTGTTCCATCAGGGATCCCGGGAATGAAGCCAGCGGTTCCGCCAGCTTAACATAGAGACGACTGAGGACGGGAACGTCCCCAATCATCTCTATGGTATAAGAAACCGGAAGTGAAGAGTATTTTTCCATTACTGGCTTGTGAAAGCATCTGGTCAAACCGATCTTGGTTTGATCAAATGCTTTTAAGGATAGAGCAGAGATCTGGGATCTCATAGAATCCAGATCTCTCCATAAAGGGGACCTGTCTCTGCTCCAGCTATCACAAGGAATTTTGTTCATCTCTTATGATAGCAATAAAATGGATTGAAAAAAAAAAAAAACAAATTAAAGTAACACTGTAAAAAAAAAAAAAAAATCTAAATAAAATAAATAGAAATGTAAATATTTTTTTAAAGCGCCCCCATCCCACCATGCTGGGAAATACCAACATTTCATCTTTCAGACATGCTGATGAATGCAGTTCTAAATAGGACCCTGACTGACCTCATAAGCAGATTTATGTCCCCACAGCAACTTCTGTGTTGTTTGCCATCTCGGCAGAGCGCGCCAGTGTGTCGGCTGTTAATGCGTCTTCAAGTTTCCGCCGAACGCTTTGCACTCGTTCCTCCTGTTTCCTGAAAAATACAAGGTAATGGTCAGGTACAAGCAGAGCGGTGCTGCAGGACTGCAGTGAGCAGAGAATATTCCTACCAAGGAGGCAAATACATCCTTTAAATGCACTAGATATCAAAGTAACAAGATATATTTATTGTTTTGGGAAAGATACACCAGTATATAGGGGTGCTACCCTACTGGATTTACAGGTATGGGGGGGTAAGAAGAAAGGCTGAACAGCCTCAAATATTAGTGCAGGCAAACCAGTTCAAACATACGTCTTCAAACTGTGTAAAGATGTAAACTAACAGAATGGCATTTAGTTTACTACAGCACTGAGTATCATAAACTGCCATTTTTTTGGTACTTTTTTTTTCCGATCTATTGTATTCTCGCAGTGCAGCCCCTGCCTGTCTACATGTCTGCATTTTGGGTTCCCTGAATGTGACAACAATGGACCATGACTGTGAGTCGGCATGACATCAGAAGCCACTGTGATAATGCAGGAGAACAACTGGGAGACATGAATAGAGCAATGTCTCCCTACCTTTAACCTACCTGGCGGTCTAACTAATCAATATTTTTGAATATCAAAGCGGTACATTGTTTTTCATGAAAATTTGTTGTTTTATATTATAGGCCTGTAATTCTTAGGAATAACTCACTTAAATCTGTCCAAACAAGAGTCTTGTAAACATCCCGGGTAGGATAAAGTTTGAAACACAAAATCATAATATAATTATAAAAAATAATCTAATAATAATACATTTAATTCAATAATATAATCAAACCAAAAACACTGAAATGTGAAATAGAGCGCCAAGTTCACAGATCACTGAGCAAAGTCGTAAAATCGTTTTCAGTGTCTGATGACGAATTTCGACACACGAATCATCACTCAATTCTGCAAGTGGTTCCGATTTACTATCGCTGTTCTCTAGCCGGTCTAAAACCGATTTTCACCTAAAGGGACGCTTTTTGGACGCCATGGATGTTTCTCAGTTTCCAGGCAGAAAGAACGGTAATAGTGCAGGCAGGGCGCAGGACAAAGCACTCGGGACAAAATGTATGTGAAATGGTTTGATACAGTAATGGAATACAAAGAGAATACAGTGTATTGTGTGAATGTCATATTTTTACTTTTTTGAACGTCCCACCGGTTCCACCCCCCATACGTCCGGACGCTCGCAGGGACCGGAACCCGGAAGACGGATGCTGGCATTGGCCGGCGGACACAGTGGGAGGACCTTGCAGGATCGTGGGACAAGGTAAGGCT